TTGATCCTAAAGAAGAAAAGAAAAGAAAATAAAAGAAACTGGCAAATATAAATGGTAAACAGAATAGTCAGTCTACCAGATAATTCTAAGGTACGTGTCAGCTTTCCTGAATTAGTCCCTTGTCTATCTTTCACCAAGTGATCTTGAAAAAGATGTAATCATAGTTTAGGAAGCTTCAGCTTCCTTATCCACAAAACAAGAATATAAGATACATGTCTCATGGAGAGATGAGAAGACCTTTAATTTGTGGTACAGGAGTACAGGAGTAATGACACCAATTTACTGCTATTAGAGAATGAATAAGTATGTTGTCTTTTACTATTTGGTATGCAGATGCCTAGTAACCATAAGTAAGAAAAGTTCCATTGTACCTGGTACTGTACAAAAACATAGAAACAACAAAATTCTGACTTTGAAAGTTATAGATATGAAAAAGTATGGGAAAAATAAAAGCACATGACAGCTTCACAAGAAATACCTTAACACTGTACAACACATATATGCATATGTGTTGAACTAGTTTTTTTGTGTGTGAGGGTGGAGAAGTGTGATGCAAATGGAAATTGGATAGAATTAATATTGTCCTCAGTTTCAGAATTGCCATTCAGCAAGAAAATAAAGTGAGAAACATAGACTGAGAGACCACAAAAATCAGAGGCACTGAAAATCTGAGGTTTTTTTCCTTCAAGAAGTTACTACCTTTCATAAAAATAATAAATGCTTTTTATTTTATTCCAAACGGGAAAAAACTGGTTTCTGAAATTTGAAAGTGGTCAATAGTGACAAAAGCAGCCAAGAGAAAGGAAGAGAATTTCATAATAGCGAAAACGTCCATAATTTGAGAAACATCAAAGCATGTATCAAGAATGGACACTCCTAGCCTAAAAGCAGATAAGGCTTAGAACTTACTTTCATATATCTTTCCTTCTAATTCTTAGACAATACTAAGGTTTTCTTTATTATTCACAATGAATTAGCTGAACAGACCCACCAGGCACATAATGGACTTGTAAAATTATTTCCTTTCCATGCTCAGAGCAGATAAGCAGACCTTAAGAGGAGAGAGCACTGAAATTTTCCTTTGCTTTCTGGCTTCTGAAGGAGTTGTAATTAATGTTTCTCAGTCCATGAGGAGGCATGAGATGAAGGACCTAGTAAAACCCTGAAGACAACATTCTCTTTTCTCATCAAAGCTCTTTTACAAGGATGTTTGGCTCACAAGGGTAACGACATTTCCAACATATATCCTATGTGCTCTTCAAGATTTTACCTTCAGGAGTTTTTAATCCAGCACTTAGCTTGTTTATCTGATTCCCATTTAGGTTCCCCTTCAAAATAGGTTCTTTTCTTTTAGTACCACACAGCTTTGACCAATGCTCCAAAGTTTTTTTAAGAAAATAATTCAGTCTACTGCCATATAGTTAATTTCTGCAGAAATTACTGAGTCTTGTGGGCAGCTACCAAGCCTCACTGTGATTGGAACTAATAACTATTACCAAGATATGATCATTTCATTTAACATTACCAAACCATCTGGTGTCTTTGTATCTTGTTGTAACACATTGCCACTGTTTTACTCAATCCACTCATTAAAACAAGACAAAAGTAGCTAAGGTTAAACATATACACAGATGATAAATTTATCCTCTCAATTATGTTTTTGTGCAACCCCTATCCCCAGAATATACCTTCTTAGATTTTTGAAGTATGAGAGTACTACTAAGATCCAATCTGACCTCCTGTATAATGAAGGCTATCTATTTCTTCGAGTAACCTTTAAATCAAAAGAACAACATGCTTGGGCTATGCTGGATCTTCCTCATAATGGCTGCCTGTGATGGATGAATCCAACCCATTCCTAGAAAAGTTATACCAGTGGTTAATGACTCTCACACTTAAAAATATGCACCTTATTTCTAGACTGAATTTGCCAAACTTCAGCTATGAAACATTGGATCTCATTATGCCTTTTTCTGCAAGATTAGCGAGTCATCTACTGTCAAGTCTCATTCCCATTAAGGCGCTTGCAAACCATGATCAAGTCACCTCTCAACCTTCTCTTCAGCAGATTAAACAGACAGATCTTTAGCCTCTACCTGCAATACTTACTTTCAGACCTATAGTCATTCTTTCAACTTTAATGAATTCTTTCCAATTTTAGGCATATTTTCAAAGTGTGATCACCAGAACAGGACACAAAAGTTCATTAGTATTTTCCTTAATGCCATATAAAAAGGCACTTCCTACTCGATATTCAGTTATCTATATATCAGAGAATATAATATATACAATTTAGAACTGTTTTATCAGAGTCTTATGCTAAAGTGCTTTTTGTATTTTTTACCATTCTCTATGAGGTATTCAATTCTAGCAGTACCTGGTAATGCAATTCCACTTAAAGTCTTATTTTAAAACATTTTTTTGCATTTTCACTTCTTAATGTAAGGAAATTACATTCCTGAAGTAATTAGCTTTTGCAGAATAGAAGTATGTTTAGAAAACACACAAACACAGATATACTATACTGACCAAAATTAGTGGTTTTTTTCTGATAACTCCAGATTAATCATTAGATTAATTTTAAACATTAGATTAAAATTCCTAATTTTTCCAGGAAATTCATTATTAAAGATTGTATATATAGGTTTTGGTTTATCTTTCATGGAATGCATATGTAATTAACCTATATTGCTTGCACAAGTAGCTCTGGTGAATAGCATTTCCATCAAGAAACCCCTAATGTTCTCCTGGATATTGCTTCAGACACCATATGAATCAAATGGGATTGTATAGTTTTCATTTACTTTTCTGTTTGAGCATGATTTTCACTTACTGATAATCTGTGAGAACAGATGTCGCTATGTCTACTGCTTAAGTTTAAATTAATTTAATTGGGTAAATAATATCCATTAATAATAAAAATATTAATAGCAGCAGAAAATAATATAAATTCATTCACTACTAGATGAGATAGTAAACAACAGAAAAATATTTCAAATCATTTGGTTTCAAGTTGGAACAGTTCTTAATTATTGGTTCAGTTTCATGTCATAAAACATTTGCTAATCATGATCTGTTCACACAAAAATTTCAGAAAATATGTGTTCAATAGAACCTTAATTTGACCTAAAATTTATCAGCTGAATAAAGAAATTCTGTTTTCTTATGATTTCTCTTTTTCACTCATAGTGAAGGAGGAGAATTCATTAATGTAAAAAAACCCTAAATTATGTGATCTGACATCTTAATCTGTTGTGTTTAAGTCTAGGTTATTTCAACTGCAAATAAAAATCTTTAATGAAGGATATGAAAATTCTATTTCATTAGATGTAAGGCAACTCTAGTTCTTGGATACAATATATTAGAGAATCAGAAAATATATCTAGACAAATGTAAACAGAAGAATAAAGAAAGCAGAAAAAAATAATTGTGCAGATAAGGGAATGCTATGTTAAGGGAAAAATTTCCACAGAAATAGGAATAATCTCTGTACACTTAGAAACTTAGAAAACCCACATTAGGGGCATTAAATAAAAAATAAATTTAAAATATGAATAAGAAAGTTATGAATGAGAAGGAAACTAAAAATTTAAAGTTGCTTCCTAATATTTCAGCATCCACAGTTTGAATCTGAAATAGAATTAGGCCAAAATTTTCTGCCATACTAAAATTAGGTTAAATCCCTATAGCATTTTCTGGTAATTCAATAAACACCTTGTATTATTTCTTTATGTCTCAAGACAAAAAATAATTTTGACTCTTTTAAAAAACTAAGTCTTTGAAATTTCAATGTTGTTACTTTTAAGAGATTTACATATTTCCTGACATGAAGAGATCTCTAATTGATTAGTTACTTCTATCAATTTCATCAGCTCCATTTCCAACAAGTATTCTGAGGAGAATACTCAGAACACTGTCAATGCATGCTTTAAGTTAAGCAGCCTGAGGCATTCTAAGATATTGGAGTTGAATTATTTTTATTTCCAATAAGAAGCTGAAAGCCTTAAAATTTTTTACTTTTTTTTAATTAAAACTATTTGTACACTTTGGGTACAAGGTCTATGGTTATAAGGTTAAATAGATATTATTTAGCCTTGATATGTAAACAAATTTTCTGGTCTCTGAATTTCATGAGAGAAACTGAGCACACAGTCTTCAATTTCTGTGCCAGTTTAAAAGCTGCCTTGGTCCTCAGTTTGCTGATTACAAATGCCAATGTGACAGCCAATGTAGAGCTTTAGGTGATAGCATAATAACTCTTAAAACTAGCCTATATTAGCCAAAGGTCTTTAGAAATTACCAACAATCAGGTAGATATTGTTATACATCTCTCTGGAAATTCTGAGACACCTCTATGCTATCCAACTTAAGGAGTTAGAAAACAAACCGTCTTCACTGCCTTCATAAATACTTATCACTAGTTAAAGTCTGCTTAAATGCCTGATGCATCTAGGCAAGAAATATTTTCCTCCAATTCAGTATCTCACTTCACTATATTTCAAACTGAATTATCTTAGTATGAAGTTAAAAGGGATAATCTGAGATTTTTATATGGACCCAAAATTGCATTCAAAAGTTTCTCAGAATTATGAAGCCCATAAGTTTTTCCTCAGTAGAGCCCCTAATATTCTTAGTATTTCTCTATTAAAAACTACAATTAGATATAATGCTGCTGAACTGAAAGTAACTTTTTATATGACAAAGCTTAATCTTGTACACAGCTATAGAAGATCTGAGCAAAGAATTCAGATTTCTTCATGTACTTCACTGCCATAAATTCAACTCTTTAGAAGAAAATCATCAAAGAAACTTTTTGTTTTCTGTGAGGGATTTTTCATTTGATTCCTTTGCTGTCTTTCTAATCATAAATAAAAAAAAAGGGGTTTCACTTGTTTTTAACAGCATCAGGAATCATACCAGTTGCCCTGCAGTAAGGGGCCAAAGTTTACCCCCCCCAAAATCAGGACATAACATCTTCTCAAACAGAATATAAAACTTACCTTGAAAAATGTCATGGTTGCTCCATCTTCAACTGCCCCATACTCTATCTTTGTCTGCTTGGCCAAATCATCAGCAGAATCAATAGGGGACTCCATACGTTCCACTGTCAGAAAGGCGGCTAGGTTAGCAGTGTACGAGGAAATGATGATAAGTGTGAAAAACCACCAAATGCCTCCCACTATCCTGGTGGAGAGGGCTTTAGGCATGAGCTCAGAACCTAACGAAAACCAGGGGAGAAAGGTGAAACGGATGCACAGAAAACAATTAATAAGAGTTCAGCGCTTTTTGCCACAGTGGGGAGATGGAATCACTGTGCAAAAAAATCTTTAAGCTACAGGTTTACACGTACTGCTTGTACAAACACACACAACTGAAATGCAAAATAACTGGTTAAATATATAAAGACAGATCTTTTTGGAGCTGTGGGAATCAAAATATAGTAATGGGAGATTCAATGATCAGTGCTATTTTAAAATTTCTAAACACATACATATAAAAACAATACGGAAAAAGCATTTACTTCAACTTGCTTTCCAGAAAAAAATAAGCAATTGATGAAGATACCAGATATGAAATAAAGGATTTCATATCTGAAGAAACAAAATCTTAAATCGATTATAAGTATGCTTTTTAGTTTTGTCATTTGCATTGCTGTAAAGGATAGTTTATTAAATGTTTAGATTAAAAAAATTATTATCTCCCATCTCTATGTTTAGCCCAGAATTTCATATAAATATGGGTGGCTATGCTACACACTTCAATTTAATACAATAACAATAAAAATATTAAACTTCTATGCATAAACTAGATAAAGATAGATTATAATGCATTGCTGGAGTTGCCTGCTCATGGCACGAAAGAATGGAGGGAGAGATAGACATTGTATAGTAATTTGCATAATTTTTAATGTTTATTTAGGGCCTAATGAGACAAATTGAAGCACATAAACTCCTCTTGTGTTTAATTACTAAAAATAGGAATAAATTAAATTCACTGTAATATAAAATTACAAATATTTATTATAAATGAGCATGTATAGATATTTTCCATAATGTTATAATTGAATGAAATGAAATTTCTAATGATGTCAAATACATAATTTCAAGCTTAATTTTAAGAATTTTATATAAGATCTTTTAGAAGTATCTGGAAACTCATTTTCAAGGAAAAAAGGTTTCACCATGTCCACTATACCACTGCACCGAAACAACCCCTTTTTGTTAATTGGTTACTATGTTTGATCTTAAATTTCCTGGGTAAAATGGAATGAAGGCAAGATGGACTATTTTATTCCTGTTAAATTTTAGTGCTTATATTGAATTAGTTAAGGAACTGGTCCAGCAAGGTAACACATCTTCATATAGGTGAAAGATTATGTCAAACTTCCAAACTCAATGCCAAAAAAAAGAACAGAAGGACTGGGGAGGCAGGGAGGAAGAAAACAAAAGAAAAGGAAAAAAGAAGTGGTATCATAACTGGACTACTGTATTCAAAAACAGCCCATCTTACCCTGCAGTTCATCTTACCCTTGCTGTTTCAAACAAAAAAGGCTGACAGACTTGGACATGACAGCCAACTCCAGCGCCAGACTCTGCCTAGAATTCTGCAAGGGAAAAAGTAGAAAAGTACCTGTCTGATGTAGTTGCTCCTAGGCCCTGTTAGTCAGACACTTAGACACCATAACACTAAGAGATTTCCCAACAAGCCCACTATCATGAACTCTTTTAAATTGCTCTCGTTTCATTTTAAAAACCAACACCAGTAAAGTCAGATAGGACTGGAAAGAAAAGAAGAGTGGAGACATTCGCCACAGTTACCCCAGTTACCACAAGTTCATACCTTACCAAGGACTGAAACCGAGTGCCACCTGGGCCCATGAAACAGAGCCTGGTCAGGGGCTGACTGTCATGTACCCAAGGTAACGTCATGTCCAGCACTATGTCCCACAGTTTCCTGGGAGCGAGAGGTGCCAGCAAGACATGTATGAGTTCCCTCTATCATGTAACCTCCAGCACTAAGCAAATCTTTTGTAACGAAGCAGCACTTAATATGAGTATGGGCCAAGCGTTTCTATGTTGTTTCTAGTGGAAAGTTATGGCTATTAGGTGAGAACTTCTATGCTTGTCTAAAAGCCTGCTTTTAGATGACCTAAGGTTTTTGAGAATTTTTTTTTAAAACAATCTTCAAAATCAAGACTGATACTGCATCCCTAAAATGATGCCTTTAAAATTTATTAAAGGATGAACTGAGTAAAGGTAAAATAATACAAGTCAAGGTCAGAGGGTCAGCCTTAATTCTGAAAAACTAGTTTTCCTTCAAGGAAAACTATTATCCTCCACAGATATCTTTTTAAACGAAGGTTGGGAGGGTGTTTTTCTTATTTCGATTCTCAAAAACAATGTTTAGATGTTATGGACAAAAATACCTTTTTCTTGCAAAAAGATGATGTGAAAAATCTAAATTGTTTTTTCCATCCTCCAGAAATATGAAGCATACAGCCACATAAGAAATAAAACTCAGCATTGATACCTACAATCCTGAGAACTGTGAATGGAATTCAAAATACCTTCTTTCATTCAGCATCCCTTTTTTCGATAGCTTCCTTAAAGCAATAATTATCTTACTAACATGCATCGGGCAACTGTGCTTCATCTAATTTCTTGAAATGTATATTGACAACCTAGATGATAGTAAACAGTTAGCAAACTATAGATGTATTTTTATTTCTGATTTGAAATCCTGATTTCTTGTTACCCATTAATTAATGTTTTTCTGAGCACAGTACTTTTTGCTGAGGCACTTGAGACTTTTTAAGCCTACCAACCTGATATATGACAGAATATTTACTGCAGTTACAGGAAAGCTTGATGAAATCATTTGATGAGTTAAAACCAGGATTTATAGCTGGTGTACTTATAATGGGAAGTTTTAAAAATGATTGCTCAGGTAATATCCATTAAAACAACTCTACCAATATGTACTTGTTCCTGCCAACATTTTCTATGATTCTTCTGGGAGGATATGCAACAGTTCTTTTTCCAGAGAGAAAAGTCATTCCTTTTAATGGCTCTTTAACAATCTTTTGTATTACACTGTACTGCCCAGTAACATGCCAGACCAAAAACTGAATCTGTGCTATTCAAATGTGTCTGATAATATATGACTGTGTTCAAATCCTTATGGAAAAGGGTAATAAAATGGTGATATATTTTTATGGATCTATATATTTGGTATGCTGTCAAAATAAGAGGAATATGGTAAGGAAATGACAGGTTTTTAAGAATGTGCTTAAGCAGTTTACTAAGATAGTTATAGTTAAAACTGGTTGCTGATTTTATTCTGAGCAATATGACTACACAGCTGCCAATTTTATTGTCAGCAATGGCATCAGTTTCCCAGTGCATGGATTGCTGAATATAGACTTTTTATTTAAATCTTTAAGAATGGTCATTCTGATTTTAAAAATATAAATTATGACTGGACTGGATTAAATCTCATATATTATTTTATTTTACAGGTTCTAGCTACTAGATAAAATCTTTCTCTAGTTGAAAGGCTTCTCCACAAAAATTTTAAAAATAATAGATTTTTACATTATACTCTTATCTGACGAAGATGTACTCTTTTTTAGGTTGTTTAAATGGAGGTTTTCTAGGTAATGGACAGATTAGTTAATTTAACTGACAGAAAGGGTTCCCTGTTTAGGAAATAAATTATATGACTCTGCTGTACTTTTTTAAGTTTTAAATATTTTATCTGTCTTCAGACTAATTCCTAAGGTGCTGGGAATGCCTGGATAATCATAAAAAAGCTGGTTTATGGCTACATGCACAGAGGAACTCATGCAAGTGACTTGCGCCAGAGAGCTGTTACCCCCAGCAAAAAGTGGGACATGGTGCCCAAGAGAAAGAGCAGACTGAGTCGTATACCTTGCTGCATGAGAGCTCCAACTCCAAACCAGAAACTATTTAGCAAGGTAAAATTGTTTTCCACCACGTCTGAATCAGGGTTGCAAGGATGTGGGTTATACCACTCATAGGGACTAAACCTGTGGTAATTGACAGACAAAAAAGGACAGATTTAAAATGCAGCCATCACAAAGTCTATCCAGCAAATCTGCTGCAAAAGAAAAAGAAAAACAAGAGAGGTTATAAAGAAAATAATGATTTAAAGTTTTTACAGTGAGATTGAATTATATTTAACAGCAATATTAAAAGAAAAAATAATATTGAAAATTAACATTCTAAACTATGGCTGATACTGATATAAAGGTGCATTGAGATTGGCTTTGAAAGGTTCCAAATGCCACCTGTAAACATCAAAGCACTTATTCTTCTATTGACACCAATAGAATTACAGACAATTGGTTCCATTTAGTATTAGGTTCTTATAACCACTGTGCCAGTATTTTGCATCTTGAAAGAAAATTAATATGTGTTAAATCACAGAAATTAACTAGAAAAAAAAATACATCAGGCAAAATATTTTTTCCCATCAGAATTACAAATAATTAATATAACAGAAAATAAATAGTTAGCAGTAAAAGTGACATTGTTAATCACCAAACAAGGGCAATAAACACTACAATTCACAGAAAAATAATACTATAGCAAATTAAAGGAATTGCATCCTGTCCTGTGAGGTGCACAGTAGCATCCCTGGAAAGGTTTTCCAAAAGAAGCTGGGGACACTCACAAGCACCTTGCAGGGCCAGGCTCTGAGAAAAGAAAAAAAAAATAAAAAAAATAAAAAGATAAACATAAAGGAAAAGACAATAAATTAATTATCTCAAAAATAGATACAACAGAGATAGTAGAAAGATGCCTGAGTCTGGCAATAGATTAAAAACAGATTATATAAAATCAATCTATTTTAATTCATGGTTTTGCAATTGCTGTGCATTATGACAGATTCATATCTAAATGCTATTTTATCAATTGTAGCAAAAACAAGCAAACATGTCTAGATAAATTATTCTTTGTTACAATTTCTTTCGTAAATAGAAGATTTTCAGTTCTCTCTTCCTCATGATACTTTTGTAGAACTTTAAATTTTAATTCCAATGTGCAGGGTTATTCTAATAATTTAAGAGATTTAATCACCATGCCTGCCTGAACTTGGAGGCACATTGTTGAGAGGGACTTTTATTTTATGCTTAAATCATGTCTTCAAATCTTTGATAATGAACACAAGTTAATGCATGTGCATAACATATTTGAGTAAAAAAAATGAAAATCACTGCAGTACATAAGAATGGAACTAGCACAAGACATCATCAAAATAATTAAAAATATTTCAGATTTTAATTATTAAATCAATATTAACATATTTTTATAATTTCTCAAATCATTAAAGCCACTCTGTTAAAAACCCTAGGATAGGCAGCCTTTATGAAAGAACTTTTTTGATGTATCTTATAATCAAACCTATCTGAATAATTAATCTGTCACTTTGAAAAACAGAATTTTCTTCATAATAATATTTCAAACACATTATAATACAGAAAATCACATGTTCCACTTTGAAGTTCTTAATGTAATGTTAAAACACCTCTCATTTTAAAAGTGTCTACTTGACAAAGAACTGTTTCATTTGGATCTCCAAATACTGATATGCTGTTCAAAAATGTTGATTAGGTTCTAATTAAACATTGTGACCTGAATTCTTCTATAACTTTACAGTAAAACTAGATCAGAAGTTCACTGTCTCATTAAAAGTCTAAGTATCTTTCATGTCATGTTGTTGTCAATCCAACAAAACCTGGAAACCAAACACTCAGATATTTGAAGATTAAATTGGAAAACACCTTTTTCTAGTGAGGACAATGTTTTCTACACAAAGCAAACATATTTTTTATTTAAATATATATATTCAAGTGTTATATTTAGTGATTGTGACATTACTGAACAATCTAAAATGTAACTTGGTAGTTTTACCTTTTTGCACTGATGGCATACCTTATTTAACTATTTTTATATTATTTTGAAGCATAGAAAAATTTTCCATAGTTGTAAATAAAAAGAGGGAACCACCTATAAGACATACAAGGTGGCTTTAGGAACAAGAAAAAATGCAGTCTGAGTCCTATAGTTTTAGAATTCTCTACTTGTAAATTAAGGAACATTAATACTGGCTTATTATGGATAAATATTGCTCCTCCTTATTTTAAGGATGATCTATGATATTAGATTGTCTAGCATAAAAAATCTTAAGGTGTGGATCCTTTAATCAATTTTTTGTATGTATTACATATGCATATAAGTTTCACGTTGTTTTACCTATTGCAATAAATATTCATAAATCACAGTTACAGGTTCACCCAGCAGGTTTTATAAGCGAGGATCCTGCTCAGGGCAATGTCCACTATTTCAGAATAAGGGACTGTTCAGTCAGGTCTCAGAAATGCCCAAAGACAAGAATTCCACAACTTCTTGGGAAAATGTTCCCATGCTGTTATCATAACAATGCCTTTTTTTTTCTTTAAGTCAGGCTAGAATCTCCCTTGTTTCTAAGTATAAAGAACACCAACTCTCTTGATCAGCTTCTCTTATTAGAAAGTGACTGTTAGGAAAATTCTTTCTGCCTGATCCCAGAATTGCTCACAGTATTTAAATTTGATATAATAAATGATATTATAAGAATAATCACTTTCCTTGATTAATAGACTACATTCCTACTAATTTAAATGCAGAACACTAGATCATAAAAAACAAGCATAAAGCAAAAAGAGAACTTCAGTGAACATATTCAATTGTAAAGATTGATTTTTCTGACCACTGATAACAGGTACTCTTCCCATTTATCCATTTCTATTACTGTTTATTCTAATATTCATATACACTCTTTTAATCTCTAACACCTTCAGCTGTCTGAAATACTTGGAAAAAATAGACTATAAATGAACTTTACAATACTTGAGTTCCAGTTTTCCTTATTGCTGCTACCCACTGAAAAGGAACAAGTACTCTCCAGAAATTATTGGCTAGTGCAAACAATGTTTAGAAGTCAGCTATATGAGTAATCCACAGGAAGGAAAGATTTGTGTTAAATTTACTTCCACTTTAGACATATACCATGATATTATAAATTAAAATTAGTATTGAATTGAATTCATCAGGTGAATGATCAGACAGACCTACTTCAGAACTGCAAATTATTTGAGACAGACTATAATTTATTACACTCTGCATTCAGACGGCATTTGAATAAGAGTGTAGAAGCCCAGAAGATAAAGCGTATGTCTTGTGTGTGTCTCAAACTCCTGTAGTTGAATAGCCATGGAGCCTACCAAAGGTTGTTGGTAAGAACATGTGGTAAAGAAAGTGATGTAACTGGAGAAGGAGTACATTGGAGATATGGCAGCATTTTCTGGGACTAATGTCCTTGTTCTGGCTCCTGCAAATAAGCACAACACAGTACAGCTCAAGCACAAGAGGTCAAAAAATACACATGGGCTATTGATCTAAGGCTGACCCAGTACAGATTGATCAGACCACCAAAGACCTTTAAAGCCCTCAATCTATTTTCAGAAAGGTCTGGAAGAGCAACCTTCACCTGACAACTAATTTGTACAGAAAGCAAGAAACTTATCTCCAGGGTGGAGAAACACAGCTATGAAAAGGTACCTCCATGAAGCCCAGATGTTGCCCATAGGACCTTGGACACCCTACCAGCTGGATTAGTGCTGGAGCCAGGACTGGTGACCTTTTTAGGCTTCTTGAGCCTGTTTGACTCTAGAACTTGTCATGACATTTACTGTGATCTACTGCTAGCATTTCTGCTTCTCTTTTTATTTAGGAGCTTGATTTTGTGCACTCCTGGCACAGAGAGTCTTGACATGATGTTTCAAGATTCTGTTAATTCTTGACCTGCAGGCACCCACTCCGCCCTTCCAGTGTCCAGTTTGAGTGAAACTCAGGAAGAGACGTGACTGATTCTGGATATATTTGAACAGTTTCTACAGTTTTGATCTGTAAATTAAAACACAGATTCATAGAGAGCCACGGGGCTCAGTCTGGATGACCTTAGATGTGATTGTAGATACAGGGGTTTTGGACACCCACTACACTCAGAGCAGTACTGTCACACACTGACTGCTGCTTTCAGTGGCTTTCACAAAAGGTGTGGTCTAGCATGTTCTAGATCAATTCAAATCTGCTGAGAATGTGTAAAGGGTACTGTCCACCAATTTCAACAGTTCTCAAATCAAAACTTTAGAGAGAAGAGAAAATGGACTAGTGGAGTAATATTTGCAATTGCATTTTCATTATACCAAAACACAGCTGCCTAGGAATATTACACAGAACTGAATTTAAAACAGTAGGGATATTCCTTGTGGGAAAAGGACTGTTTGGACCCATTAGTAATATATACAGGCCATTTGAATTTTGTGTGTTGCTTTCAGATATTTGCAAAACAGGCATCAGGTACTGTCATTCAATCATATTCAGCATGCTATGCGTTCAATTTTTATAGAGAACTCTTCCAGGTCTAAACCAGCTTTTTTTAATTTTTTATTTGTTATTTTACTTTTTTCCCTCAGGGTCAAAAAAGCAAAACACGAGGGACTTTTAAAACACGGGTTGATACTGAATGTTTAGCTAAAAATCCATGACAGTTATCAGCTGCCATTACAGTGCCTGGACTTCAATTCTTATTTAAAAATCCAAATGATTTTTATGATGATGTGAAAAAATTTTCCATGCTTATCTCTGACATGATACTGCCTTCTGTTCTGTCCCAAATAGAAGCTATACAACAGCTATAGAAAGGCTAAGAAAAATCTATGTTCTACAAGGTAGATTGAAATTACAAGGCAACAACACAATAAGCTTAATTCTTGGTCTGATGCAGTCAGATAGAATACTTCCCTATACTCATGGAGTTATGAATATAGGCAAGGGAAATAAAGAAAATACGATTGCAAAGAAGTATGATGCAAGTATAGAAGGGACTAATGAGATTATTTACTGGTAGCTGTGCTTAGTTTATTTAAATTACATTCTTTTCAATGATATTTCAAACACCATGTAACTATTGTGTATTTTTTAAAATGAATAAGTAAATAAATTAGGACCAAACTATATAACAAAAATATTATCTAGAGCATGATGTGATCAACGGATTCCTCATAGCTCAGCAATATATGCCACAGACACAGCACAAAATTACACTATTTGTACTATTCCAGCATTATTTCAAACCTGTCAAATTTCCTCATTTTTCTCTGCATCACCTAATCCTTGAAATTTGACAGGTTTCTTCTACTATGAAGAAAAGTAAAGAAAATATGATTACCCACTTACATGCACATAGACATCTCTTGCACCATCAGACCAAGAAGTGAGCAGACAACGTTTCACTGCAGACCCATTAGCACAAAGATTTCCCAAGCTGTAATGCTTCATCTAATGACCAGAAATTGATAAATCATAAGAATCTTACCCAATCTTTTTCATCAACTGATGAACACACTGATCCAATGCTGGATATTACTGAAAACAACAAAGTATCAGTCTAATCTCAGCTCTAGAAAATTACATTCTCCCATTCACAAGAGAAAAGTGTATGATTCTTCTAGTCATTGTTTTACAGGGTTTCTGTGCAGGACTACACCCTTAATCCATATCTTACTGCATAAGAACTGGAAAATTACAATATTTCAGAACCTTTTCAAGAATATCCGGGATATTAGATGGATGCTTGATTACAATATACTACACTACTTAAGAATAAAACATGTTACTACTTCTCCTTATAAAAAGCCTCCATTTCTTTTTGTCCTAAATTATGGCTTTTAGAAAAACTGAGATTTTTGTTTGGCTCCTTCACTGTCTCACCTTGTGACATGGATTGCCACACCTGATGACTTCTGGACTGTAAACAGAGACTATTATTACCAACACCACTGCCCTGCTCAGATACATTTCTCAGTACAGTAATTGTCTTGCTTGCACTGTGGTCATCTTCCACTTCATCTTCCCTCATATATCTGCCATGCTTTCGCTGCTTCCTGGAAATAAATAATCATCTTACACTTCTTTTATAAACAAAAAAAATTCCCCATCTAAAGCAATTGCATTGAATTATTATCACCTCTCTATTGACTAGAAATTCAACCTAACATAAAGGACTTTCCACAGTGCTAAAAGAATATCTATAAGTATTCTACATTTAGGTGATACCATTCAATCTAAAGTCTAGAAAGGCACAACAAGATTCTTGTGTGAGTTCTGTGCAGATTTTACAGAATTTTATTCTGTATGTTTACCCCGTATGCCTTTAAATTGCTTGTGGGTACTATTAATTTTAAGCATAGATAGGATCCTGCTAAATCCAATTGAGTCAGAGATAAAATACAAATACTGCAAAAAAAGCTACTGCAGGATCAGAACCAAAATCTTCATTATATGAATGAATATATCTTGTCCCATTTTTATACCATTTAAGCTTCCTGGCTAATACGAAATAAAAAAAAGACAAAAAAAGATAAAAAAGACCAAACACAATCAGTTTATAAGCAAATAATATAAATATTGTTTCATAAAGTTCTACTATAAGCAACATAAATCATATAGGAGTAATATAACCCAGCAATAGGGAATACTTGGTGATTTTTGGAACTTGTCAATTTTTACTGCTGTATTAGATACTAGTCCTGCTATAATATTCAAAGAAATATGGGCTGTAGAGAGCTACAGAAATGTGTCAATAATTTGTAGCTCAAATCAGAACCAAAACAATAGAGGCTAATTTGTTTGATGAAAGGTAATTAAATAAATAAAGTTAAATAAAAATAAATTAATCATATAACAATTCTTAACTATTATGTGATAACTGGAATAACTTTACGATAACCAAAACATTTTTAGAGCTGTGAATTAAGCGTTCATTAAAATCCATTATTATTCTGGATTAAAGACATAGTATATTACCATCATAATTAAAGATTAAGGAATGATGAAAATAAGTGTCAAAGATATACATACAACCTAAGTTTTGAATCACTAGTCAAGTTCCTATTGCTGAATTTATTATATATGCTGGTTTCAGTTCTTACATAACTTCAATTTCCAGAACATTAGTCCATCCATTTCTTGAACAGAAGAAATGTCGATAGAGTTAAATATTAAATGACAGTCAAGAATCTGAAGAAAACTTATTTAAAATTACTATCTTTTAATGTATGTGAGCTTCATAATGATTCTAGACTTCTCCCACAATCAATGTGTCCTGACTGCTGCTAAATACATTGAAGTCTTACAAAAAATATTCTAGGAGATATTCTGAGATATCTCAAGTATGGTAGGGTAGGGGAGAGGTTAAAAGAGTTGCTTCCTTTTTAGTTTTCACACCATTCACAACCTTTCCTGAGTTTTGTATCTGACAGACAACTTTGAAAACTAGAGCATTCGTTGTGCTAGAAAACATTTTTACCCCCTTTTTGGCGACATAAATAAAATTATGTCTCCAACATGATTTTCACCTTTGTATGCTTTGCTCTTTAGGCTCTTAGCATACTTTAGAATCCTTGAATATTCATTTGTATTCCTTTATTCCTCTGACTCAATGGTAATAATTGGGTGCTATTTCAAAAAACAGGTCATTCACAATACTTCTAATATTTTTAATTTGTATTTTCCTTCTAAATAGCCTATATTTAGCTGTTTCATATAACATTCTTACATCTTTACCACAGAACATTTTGTTTACCCATATATTTTCTCCCTGAGCATATTAAAAAAAAAAATAAGGAAGAAATAAAAAATTGACTGCTTTGGAAAATCTTCATCGCTATTTTTAGAAATACTTAAATTTCAAGAAATTTGTAAATTCTTTCTCTCTGGGATAGAGTCAATTTTCTTCCTAGCAGCTGGTATAAGCTGGTATGATGTTCAGTTTTGGAGGTAGTATGGTAGCAGTGTTGATAATACACAGATGTTTTTAGAGGTTGCTAAGTCGTATTTATATGACTTCATCTTTTTCTGCCTTGAGAAAGGATGTGCCTTGGTCTTGCACATCCTTTTCTCACGATTTTTAAG